CTCATCTGGGCTGCTCGCAGCTTCTCCACCTCCGCCTTCAGCTCTGAAAACATGCAAATGTTTGTCTAAAATTCTTTGTAAAAGCTGAAATATCAAGCAGTTCAGAGCAAATGTACACTGAAATTTCTAACAGTCAATGTTAAACTCCAGGGAGTTACTGTACACAAACGTCTGTAAAGTCTTCTAAGACGTGACTTTCTCAGAGCCAACAGAAATATTCAGATTTTGCCAGCAAACAGCCAGACAATGTCACTTATTTACTGAGCAACATTGAATTGATTTGTAATGTCTGAGTCGCATTAACTTTGAGTATCACACACTGACAGGCCGTGTGAGAGAAATCCACAGCAAGAGCTCCCCTCAGTGCTAAAAACGTCAAACAGCAGCACAATCATCTTATGAAAAATAATACTTGCATGACAGTTAGCCGCCATGTGCGGCTGACAGTGCATAAATATGGCCTGGAGGCAAGGTTAGGGTCAGGCCTTAATTGAACTGGGTAGTGCATAAGCTGGTGATGGATTGATGGGCAGACAGGAGGGTATGTGTGAGAGAAGGAGAGGGAAGGAGATCAAGAGCAAGACACAAATAGAAAGACATTCGTATTTAAAGAAAGAGAAAACACAGAGACAGTGAGACAGAAACAAAGAGACCCAGATGAAGGAGCTAAAAGACAGAAAACATGTTGCTTTATAGCATAATATCGTATTGTGAGATTCTTCCAGAGCACAAATACTGTTCAAACCTGTAATGCCAGGACTATGGCAACAACATTTCTCAGTATAGAAAAGCCACTGCTGGTTTTCTTCATGAATAAGGACAAACAGGTGCTGCATGTACAGACAGGTTCACAAATATACTGATAAAACATCATAAAACTTGCTACTACTATTTAGGCTTAGATAAATAAACAGCCTGTATAAATAATAAAGAAATGTATTCTAGAGCTCAATTAAGTCCAACAGAGATTTCTGAGTGTCGATATTTTGAGTGTCTGACCTCTGATGAGCTTGGCGCTGGTGTCCTCATTGACTTTAGCCACGTTAATGATAGTGCGGGCCTGCTGGGCGTAGCGCAGAGTGCTTAGGCTTTCCTCCACGTTGCTGCCGGCTGGGCTCAGTGTGGCTATCATGGCCGTCTTAGAGTTCCCGCCGAGGCTCTCCTTCAGCAGCCTGCGGGAGAGGAAAATGGGATTTGGTCAGGATCATCCCTCGAAATTGGAAATGAGATCTGCTGAACTACTGCATTGGAGGAAATATGAAAAATATGGCGAGATTTTACTTTTATCATACAATTTCTATACATATGCACCTCTTCATTTTAAGTACTGTGAAAGTATTTGCATTAATTTTCTTTGGTCATTTAAGTCTGTCTTACATGAATCAGACACAGCTTGAGTATACTACATGAAGGGTGGACAAGTTTTGTTTATATAAAGAAATAATAATAATTAAGAGACCTTACAAAACAACAGTTCTGCAGCAGCTGCATGTGTGCAAGTATTCTGATCTCTCACCATGTCAGGACGGACTCTCTGTACGGTATGAAGACCTTCTTTCTGCTCAGTGCCTGTTCTGACAGGGCAGAGATGACCTTTCCAAGGGTAAGCAGGGATTTGTTGATGCTCGCACCCTCCTATAATGAGACAGTACAATTATGATGTTTTATGAAGAAGCAAAAGACATCTTCTGCAAGACACACTGAGGTCCAAATTACAAGCAAATGGCTTTTAACGAACTAAATCTTTTAAAATCTCAGTCTAAGAATCAAGTGTAGATACAAGTAATGATTTACTGACTCTTTCGCATTCGTGCTGCCAATTTTTCAAGTTACCCAAAATGTCAGATTAATGAAAAATTGAAGTAAAAATGAAATAATGTGTTAGCAATATTTTTGCATGTGTAGCGTTTGTTCATACTATCGGAACAAAAGGAAACAAAAAAAACAAATATATCCACTCAACAATGATATGAAACAAAGAAAAGCTTATTCTCATGATTGGGCAGCAATACCCAAGGGAAGTGGTGTGTGTGTGTACCCTGAGTCGCTCTCCACTTGTCTGCGCCGAGTTACAGCGTTCGCTGCCTGCCAGGTCCACCAGGTTGATCCTGCTGGTGATACTGTGGTCATGCTCCTCACCCTCTACAAACTCAGTCTGCACACAAGCAGACAAACTCATTAGATGTGTAACACTGAGCTTAAAAGGAACAGTCCACCCCAGAATTAATTTATTCATACACTCTACACATTAATAAAAACTTGGAAAAGCAAATGTGGTGCCGTATCTTATCTGGTGGTGGATTTGTATATTATATAAGAATTAATCAGGCCAGATATGTGGGATATGTGACATACAGTGAAGTTGAGAGGCCATACCTGAGTCTGCGTCATAACCAGGGTGAAGACGGAGTGAGATCTGGAGCTCTTGTCGTTCATTCCTGTAGCTGCCGTGGCTCTCTGCTTGTTGCCCAGCTCCAGCCAGCCCTAACCAAGGACACCGGGAAATTATGACTGAATCCCTTTATGTGGCACTTTTCTTGTAGTTATCAGCTGCATTATTATTTTCTATGCTAGGCTTTGGATATATCTTTAATTCTCAGCACTCCTCTGAAAAAGTGTTCCTGTACTACACTTTCAAAGCATTATTATTCAGTCAAACATTGATGTCTGTATTCCATTGTGGCCTCTCATTCCTCATGACACTGAACCCTGACTTGCTCACTTATTCAAAGCTCTTCTTAAGAGCGTCGGCTAAAGGCCAAGGATCTAAAGAAGAAAATATCTTGACGGCGGTTTCAACATACCTCAATGTCATTGTAGGAGCTTACAATATTCCTGTGGAGAAATAACAAAGTGAGCAGTTCTGCATTCAAGAATGTTCTTTCGAGTGTACTGAAGTATAATAATGCAAAAGAAATTAAAGGTTTCTTACGCAGAGAGGTCAGCAACATAGGGACCGTGGACTGGATGTTCCCTCACTCTCAGCTGGAAACACAAATCAACATGATTTTATCTTGACTATATACTTTCAGGTTAGTCAGTCCGACAAATGACCGTGAACACTGTATGCATTATCCAGGAAGCATTATGAGTAAGAATGCTTCACTAAAATGAGCAACTGTCAGATGTTCAATGCTATCTTGATAGATTGTTAAAGTAAACTCCAAGAACTATCCGTTCTCCAACAGGCAAAGTGACTAGCTTATGTAGGCACCAGTATCTGCAAACTACTCACAGGCATCCGCCTCTGGTTTGGCTCATCTCTGGTAACCAGCAGGTCGTGGATCTTCTCATTGTACACTTCAAAATAGCTCATCTCTACATGGCATTTGACCTGAAATATAAGAGCCCAATGATCAGTATGTAGTGGGTGAAGTATTCCTTTATGAAATGTTCTAACAGTTAATTTTACTAACAGAAGAAGCAAAAGGTGTAAAGGAGCATAAAATAAGTTAGAGGCACTGAACCAGAGATAAAGCTTTGTATGAGACATTTATTTTACCTCTTCATTCTTCATGGACGCCATCCTAGAAAAAAGCTCCTGGCAGAATCGTGGGATTACCCCTTCCTCCTCTCCAAAGCCCATCATCCTAAACAACAAAGGTTTTAAACAAATCAAATGACTACTGATTAATTATGAATTAAAATATACATTAAAAAACAATTTTACAATTAAGAAAGTTTCAGTGTTAGAAGGCTGTCTGTAATAAACTAAAACAGAAAAGAACGCTCACGTGTAGGACTTCCCGGAGCCTGTTTGACCGTAAGCAAACAGGCAGGTGTTGAATCCTTCGAAGGCCCTCAGCAGCAGAGGTTTGGCCAGTGTTTCGTACACTGTCTGCTGGCTGGCGAATGCTGGGTCACACTCATCCACCGAGCAGAAGGAGAAGTCATAGGTGAAGGAGTAGCTCTGTTTGGAGTCGGGATGCTGGACATTGGTCTCCTGACCGTTCATAAAGATTACCTGTAATGCTTTCTCTGCCTTCTCCCTACAACAGAGCAGAAATATTTACAGAAATTATTTCATAAATTTATTTGTTGTACCAGAAAGAGTATTTTTCCTGATTATAAATCTGAGCATTTCCATATTCTAAAAATGTACATTGTTTGTAGTTTAGTGATCATTTTCCAGCTAAGGAAATTCCTATAAAGCCTGAAGTGTAAGACTGCAACTAACGATTATTTTCATTATAAATTAATATGCAGATTATGTTATTAAATAAGCATTTGGTGGAGAAACTGTCTATCTCAAAAGCCCAAGGCAAGATATCAGATTGCTTGTTTTGTCCAACCAACACTCCAAAACCTAAAGACATTAAGTTTCCTATGACAGACAAAGAAAAGCAACATATCCTCAAAACTGAGACGCCAGAAGCACAAGGGGTCTGATTAAACTTCACCTTAGTTTATCATTATTAGTTTAATTAGAGCAGATGGCACCTTTAAAGACCCACACCCTTAAATGCTGACAGACATCATCTACCCCTGCGCAATTTACCCCTTAGTTATGACAATTGTTGCCCTACAAACCTGGCATTGAAAGGGCGTACACGGACTGCAACAGTCACTGCACTGTTCTCCATCTTCAGTGAGTCCTGCTGCTCCAGGGCCTGGCTGTGACGAGACAGGAGCTGCTCGGTAGGTGCTGGACCTGGACCTGGACCTGGACCTGGAGCAGGAGCAGGAGTGGAGGTCCTGGTTTGGGTCACGTCTACCCTCTGACTTGAGTTGGATGTCTTCCTCACGTGCAGCGTGCTGTTTGGCTTGTGCACACCTGCAGACGCCGCCTTGCTGCCCCGAGGAGCTGGGACAGGTTTTGCGTCTTCCACTTGCTGTGCTCGGGATTTGGGCCTCTCTAGACTTGCAGATTTAACCGCCACTGGTTTAGGTGCATCTTTTCCTGCCAGTCTCTCGAACACTTCTCTCTTCGTGGCGATTTTCTGAAACTGTGTCGTCCTGGTGGGGGTTTTAAAGATCCGAGCCTGGTCTTCTAGCTTTGTGGGGGAGGAGGGCGTTTTGCAGTGCGCAGGTCTCCCATGGGTTTCCACAGAGGCAGCAGTCTCTCTTAAACTCGTAGATCTCAATACACCAGGTGTCCTACCGTTTGGTTCACTGAGTATTTTCGGTGTTGGCTGCAGGCCGGTGCTGCTAACCTCACCCTGCACATGTGTGCTTTTATCCATTGAGGGAGTCCTTGTTCTGCGCTGCAGGGTCAGCCTCTTCTCCGGAGCTGGTGTGGTGTTCTGGCTGCTTTCCACCATGGTTTTCTCCGCTGTTTCAGACCCGGTCTTCCTCCTTGACCGCCTCTGCAGTGTGAGTCGGCCACGGTAAGAAGTCTGCTGCCCGCTGCCACTTTTTGACAGCGCAGAGACGATGTAAGTCCTGTTTACCTGTCGGCTTTTATCAGATAACCTGCTGTCTTCACACGCAGACTCTCCGGATGTTATCTCACTTTTGCTTATCGTTGTGTCCGTCGCTTTTCGCTCTGCCAGGCGCTCTCTGCCCGGTGTCCTGGATGTGGTCATGAGATGGTCATAATAAGTTGTGTGCTTCCTCGCTTGTACACTGAATAACGACATGGCTGACGGCTGCTGAACATAAAAACGTTAAAATGAGCGTACCGGTTAGCTAACTAGCTACTTCACTCAAGTTGCTTTAAAAACGTACAATACACGACATAAAAACATGTAAGACTGACACAAGTACAGCTAAGTATGTTATTAAAAAGTGAATGTAACTCCATTCGGGTAAAAAAACGAGTTGTGTTGAGGTAACAGAGCTTCTTCAGTTTGTTATTATGCCGTCATCGCTTCCGCCTTCGCCCGCTTCAATTTCAAATCGTCTACGCCAGCGACAGCTGATTGGCTGAATTCTCGGAAATCGTTACGTCACATAATAGTATAGACAGGTAGTTACCGCAGTTTGACGCTAGGTGGCAGCATAATCAAGGTTGTAATGTTGTGTAGCAGTAAACTGTAGCAGCTGTCAGGTTGTATCCCAGTGAAAAATGCTGCTACTCATGTTTTCCTGCCTAAAATTAGCAGTCAAATTAGCAAACAAAAATATCCCAAACTTCAAAGTCCACCTGCTGAGGTAGTTGGAAAAAAGGTTTTAAGTTCTTTTTACTTGAGTTGAATTTATTGGATATTTGAGATGTATCACAAGAGATTGGGAACTACAGTTTGGAAATAAACACAGTAGCATAGGATATGGCATGCCAGCTTTGAAACCACAAACGTTCACAACAGTTGGGCAGAAACACGAGGATCCACACAGGTTCAGGTAGTGTCCTAATGACCTCATCAACCCCACCCACTGGCTCCAGGGCCAGGAAGCCAAACCAGCCTCAGAAGAAGGTGGCAGAGAGAGGGAGGTTGCAAAACTCAAAATATTCCAAACATTTTAACTGAAGGGGATACAGTCCTAAAAAATACACATCAACTTGCTGGTTTGTGGTGTACTGTAAGTGAAAGTTGTTGAGAGAGAGAGTGGTGCTTGCCAACCTTTGAATCTTTGAACCTTTGACCTCCATATCTACAGAACAGTCGACTTTATAGTTGCATCACCAAGAAGACGTGGTTTCTCACACACCCTCTGACAAGTTGATACTCAGGTGTGAGGTAAAACTGTGCAACCGGCCATGATGAAATTCTGAAAAAATCTGACATCATTCTGCTGATTTTGGGTCATTCATTCATTTTTTATTCATTCATTTAATGGTAACATTTTGTTAAAAATTAGATGAGATAGAAAATGTAGAAAAGGTTCTATGTTCCCTGCTTACTCAAAAAAAGGTTCTATGTTTCCCGCTCAACCAAGTGGGAAACATAGAACCCTTTTTGTGTAAGCGGGGAATATAAAAGCTTTTTTTGCAGGTTTAAGTGGGGAACATAGAACCCTGGAAACACAGGGATAACCCTGCTAATTGGGTTAGCTAACTAGCTAAACCAGAATTTGCTGTAGCTTAACATAGCTGTGGTGCTAATTGGGTTAGCAAACTAGCTAAACCAGAACTTGCTGTAGCTTAACTTAGCTGTGGTGCTAATTGGGTTAGCAGACTAGCTAAACCAGAACTTGCTGTGGCTTACTGTGGTGCTAATTGGGTTAGCTAACTAGCTAAACCAGAACTTGCTGTAGCTTAATTTAGCCGTGGTGCTAATTAGATTAGCTAACTAGCTGAACCAGAACTTGCTGCAGCTTAGCAGAGGTGAAAAAGTACTCAAATCTTTTACTTAAGTAAAAGTAGCAATACCACAGTGAAATACTTTGTTACAACTACACTGAACAAAAATATAAACGCAACACTTTTGTTTTTGCTCCCATTTTTCATGAGATGAACTCAAAGATCTAAAACATTTTCTATATACACAAAAGACCATTTCTCACAAATATTGTTCACGAATCTGTCTAAATCTGTGTTAGTGAGCACTACTCCTTTGCCGAGATAATCCATCCCATCTCACAGGTGTGGCATATCAGGATGCTGATTAGACAGCATGATTATTGCACAGGTGTGCCTTAGGCTGGCCACAATAAAAGGCCACTCTAAAATGTTCAGTTTTATCACACAGCACAATGCCACAGATGTCACAAGTTTTGAGGGAGCGTGCAATTGGCATGCTGACTGCAGGAATGTCCACCAGAGCTGTTGCCCGTGAATTGAATGTTCATTTCTCTACCATAAGCCGTCTCCAAAGGCGTTTCAGACAATTTGGCAGTACATCCAACCTGCCTCACAACCGCAGACCACGTGTAACCACACCAGCCCAGGACCTCCACATCCAGCATGTTCACCTCCAAGATCGTCTGAGACCAGCCACCTGGACAGCTGCTGCAACAATTGGTTTGCATAACTAAAGAATTTCTGCACAAACTGTCAGAAACCGTCTCAGGAAAGCTCATCTGCATGCTCGTCGTCCTCATCGGGGTCTCGACCTGACTGCAGTTCGTTGTCATAACCGACTTGAGTGGGCAAATGCTCACATTCGATGGCGTCTGGCACGTTGGAGAGGTGTTCTCTTCATGGATGAATCCCGGTTTTCACTGTTCAGGGCAGATGGCAAACAGCGTGTGTGGCGTCGTGTGGGTGAGCAGTTTGCTGATGTCAACGTTATTGATCGAGTGGCCCATGGTGGCGATGGGGTTATGGTATGGGCAGGCTTATGTTTTGGACAACGAACACAGGTGCATTTTATTGATGGCATTCTGAATGCACAGAGATACCGTGACGAGATCCTGAGGCCCACTGTTGTGCCATTCATCCACGATCGTCACCTCATGTTGCAGCATGATAATGCACGGCCCCATGTTGCAAGGATCTGTACACAATTCCTGGAAGCTGAAAACATCCCAGTTCTTGCATGGCCAGCATACTCACCGGACATGTCACCCATTGAGCATGTTTGGGATGCTCTGGATCGGCGTATATGACAGCGTGTTCTAGTTCCTGCCAATATCCAGCAACTTCGCACAGCCATTGAAGAGGAGTGGACCAACATTCCACAGGCCACAATCAACAACCTGATCAACTCTATGCGAAGGAGATGTGTTGCACTGCGTGAGACAAATGGTGGTCACACCAGATAATGACTGGTTTTCTGCCCCCCCCCAGTAAAGCGAAACTGCTCATTTCAGAGTGGCCTTTTATTGCACAGCCTAAGGCACACCTGTGCAGTAATCATGCTGTCTAATCAGCATCCTGATACGCCACACCTGTGAGGTGGGATGGATTATCTCGGAGAGGAAGGAGAAGTGCTCACTAACACAGATTTAGACAGATTTGTGAACGATATTTGTGAGAAATGGTCTTTTGTGTATATAGAAAATGTTTTAGATCTTTGAGTTCAGCTCATGAAAAATGGGAGCAAAACAAAAGTGTTGCGTTTATATTTTTGTTCAGTGTAAATGTCTTGCATTACAAATATACTGAACTAAAATTATTTTGATATTGCGGCTGGCAATGGTGGAGCTCATTGTGAGTACTTTATATTTTTCTGGGTAGTTTAATAATACATCATAGTTTATTTTGTTTTACACTATAATTATTTAATTTGTAATAATAATCATAATCTGCTAAGTAACTAAAGCTGTAAAGTAAACACAGCGGAATAAAACTTCCTTTTGAAAGTTGTTAAAATTCACAATGCTAACTGAAAATGTAATAACAGTGTTGTAACCTAGCAACAGCAGCATTTTTTTTTTTTTATTACAAGAGACCAAACTGTTTTCAACTCAGTTCTTATTGTTAAAGAAATTTTTAAGGGCAGTACTGAGGAAAAGGCATCTGTCAGTGTGTTAGCTACATGTCAAAACTAGACACAGTTTTATTTAAAATATAAAAACCATCACACTATTGTTTAGCTTTTGTATATTTTCTTGGTCTTCTGGAAAAATGATTGTAAATTAAGATATGTTTTCATCTTTCTTGTTGAAGAAATGAGCACTACTGATCCAAAGGAATCATTAGAGAACTCACTGACATTCAGATATATTGATTTTGTACTTCCAACCCTCCATCTGAATTTTTCAGGTCATAATAGTCACGTGACTGCAAAGAAGCTCTATGAGTCGCAGTTGTTTGTAATATCTGTGTGTATTTCGGTGTTCCCTGCAGATGTTCCAACTGAGCTGAACCACACTCTGGACCAGGGGGACCAAGAGCCCACACACATTAAAGACCAGGGGGAGCAGCTTCAAGGACTGGCGAGGGCTGATATATCCAAGAGCAAAGATGATGAAGAGAAACCTCAGTCCTTACAGCATCATCAAAGCCAAACTGATGAGAGCAGAGAGGCAGAGCCTCCAGCCAGCAACCCAGCTCAACAAATGGAAACAACAGCTGATGAAGAGGACTGTGGAGGACCAGAGGCAGCCAGGAACACAGATCCACATGGTCATCTATTATCATCTGCTAACAAGAGAAAGAAATCATGGGATTGCAGTGTTTGTGAGAAAAGACTCAAGAATGAGAGCCTTTTGAGGAGACACATGAGAGTCCATCCAGAAGAAAAACCATTTGGTTGCAATATTTGTGGGAAAAGATTCAGCCAAAAAGATAACATGAAGGTACACATGAGAGTCCATACAGGACAAAAAAACGTTTGGTTGCAGCATTTGTGAGAAAAGATTCACAACACAGCAATATCTCAAGATACACATCAGGGCCCATAGTGGACAGAAAGTGTGGAGTTGCAGTGTTTGTGGCTAAAGATTTGCTTACTATTCTAGCAGCATACACTATATAAAGAAATAGGAGTGAAATCTATTAAAATGCATTGCAAAATAAGACTGGCCTTGTGATTTTTGGTGTTGCTGTAGCTGTGTTGCTCTTTGATTTGATTGTTTTATTATCAGTGGTCTTGTTTAATCAGAGTTGTGTCCCGTATCCAGTGATACGAGGGGAGATTTTACAACAACTGTAAGAAGGCATGGTAACTCACAGCAACAAAGTCGACAGACAGCATCATCTGCATCCTGCCATTCTCCATCGTTCTCGCAATGGCCTTCTTGTGCATCACAGCACTGCCGGCCAGCATCCAGAACTTCACATTTAACTCAAACTCAGCTTTAGTCAGCTGAGTTTTTTCTGTGAAAGTGACCTCTTTTAAGCCCCCAAAACATATAATAATCTGTGATTTGATTAGTAAAATAATACTAATTCCTGTGCTACATCTCAGAGGGAAATACACTCTTTACTTCACTACGTTTATCTGACAGCTTTAGTTTTAGTTACTTTACAATTTCTGTTGTTTACACATTCATGGGACATTTTTTCTACTTTAACTACAGTTTCCTGATTATGCTTACATACAGGTTTTTTTTATGTATAATCATTTAAAAACAAGAATAAAATACTTATGTTTTTAGCATGAAACTGCTTTATTCACTCTTTTTTACTGGTTTAAATAACCACATCTGTTTGCTTTGGAAAGGAAGAGACCTCTGCAGGCAATTCAGCTCCTGGTAAACACTTCCTGAACGTCTTGATCTAAGGTTATTTAGAGAAAAATGGTGAGCAGACATTAGCTGGTGCTAGGCTAGCAGCCTGTCTCCGACATGCCAAACAGCGTCAGAGATGCACTGATTTGTAACATGAAACTGCTTTATTACGTGTTTTCACTGGTTTGACACACCTGGTCCATTTGTTTTGGAGAGGAAGAGACCTTGGATAATTTGCCTCAACCTCCTGAACAATGAACACTGAAGGAATTCTAACCTGGAGTTCACACTTGGGAGAAGTTTCAGCTGGTTGCAATCTGAATTCCCCCACCTCTAGATGGCACTAAATCCCACACACTGCTCCTTTAAGTGACATTTCCAATACAGGACTTTGAACTTGTAACAGATTATTTTAGTGTGGTATTAGTAGTTTTACTTGAGTGAAAGATCTGAATATTATACCTAATTGCCAGAATAAATGTTAACAATGCGCATATCTGCAAATCACAGATGTTACATTTGCAGAATAATAATAATAATAATAATTAATAATAATTATCTTAAGTTGAAAATTAATGTTTTAACAAGCTGTGATTAACTTGTGGTTATGTTAAAGTGCAAAAACAGTTAGTGCAATGATGTCTTGATGAAAAAACCTCTGCTTTTTTGCGGCATTAACCCGGCTGGAGAAACAGCAACAGGTCTCATGTTTGGTGACTATAAAGCTGCCGGAAACGCAGCGCTGACTCACTAGAAAAACAGCTGTTGTTGTGGAATGGTCTTGAACAGTGGTCTGGAGCATGGCAGGCATCTCACCTAGATGTCACTTTATCATCCCTCCTCTCCACCTCCTGAGGACAAGGTCAGCTCATATACTACTTCAATTTAAAAATGCTGATATGATATGTATGAGACCTCAAAGTTTATTTTTTAATAAAACACTATACAAAATAAACATTTAGCATTTACTCAATAAATAAACAGAACCATAACAGGAATGATTGAAAGATAAGGTTATTTCTTGTGACGGTCGTGTTTCCTTATGATGTCTATGAGGTTGTTTTTGGTGACCAGCGTTTCATCAGGCCCCTGCTTGGCCTTTTGTCTCTCCCTTCTCTGCTGCTCATGGAGGTGAGGTGAATTAAGGAGCTGAGGAGGCAGGATGGACCCTGTGGGTTTGACCCGCTTCACCACCTCCAGGAACAGCCGCTTATTATTGTTGTTGAGAAAGGTGATTGCTGTACCTCTGTGTCCCAGCCGACCTGCCCTGCCCATCTAGAGGGGACAAAAGGAAGGGATGTTGCTTTAAAAAAAAAGACACACACACTCTGAAGTTAAACTTTTCCACTCTGGGTGTTACTAACCTGATGGACATACTCATCCATTGTGTTTGGCATGTCAAAGTTAACCACCAATCTGACGTTGACTAGGTCCAGTCCTCTTCCTAACACACCTGTACTGATCACCACTTCAAAGTCTCCATCCAGAAGACCCTGAGGAAGAAACAGGGCAAATATTACATTGTCAGACCTGTTCAGTACTTTCAAAACCCTACATGGACTGCAAACATTATGAATGACCTAATTTTAACCAGTATGCACCCAAGTATAAATAGCTTGAATGAGGTGAACTAGCAGAAACAGAGTATGTATGCACTGCAATGCAGTAAGAAACATCTTCTAAATATGAAGAAACTTTTGGGCCCTTTACTTTTGTCTTTCTAGGTTTGTTTTGCCCACAGGATTCATGGTTCTGACAGCATCCTCCTGCCTTCAATATACTAATAAAAACTGCTGAGTCTGTTACGTCTTAGCTCTCCATGTCTGCGGTCTTCCAGCTAAAAGTGATTCAGGAGCAACACTCTTGGACACCAAACATGGGAGAGCTGCTACTTATCCACTTGACAGTGCATGTTCTGGCTGCCTCTGGCCTCACCCTGAGTATGCGGTTGCGTTCCCACTGGCTCTTGTCGGAGTGGATTGCCACAGTATTGAGGCCTGTCACCTTGGTGACCGCCTCGCACAGCAGATCAGCCCCCAGTTTACAGTCTACAAACACAACCACCGGGGGCTGGTACAGCTTGCTGTCCTGCAAAGCCACAAGGGAAAACACAGGAGCTATGTTACATTTTATTTGGCATTTGACAACATTACCATATCTCTACATTCAGCAACTCCATATACAGATTGAGCTGCTATGTATATTGACTTACTTTTTAACTTTGATTTATGATTTACTGATTAGGCTGCAAGGAATGTTTAATAACGTAAAAAAAAAAAAAGTTGTGTATGTCACCTTGCTAGAGTTGGCTTTTCAAATGTTTGGACAGGTTCAATGGTCAAAATCTGCCTGCAGATGGCAGTCATGACTCTCCAGCCAGCAACACACACTTCTGAGGAAAAACGGCTGACAAGGCCGGCTTGAAAAGATCATTTACCAGTTTGCTTACATCTCCAGTTTGCAGCCTGCAACTAAAAGGTCTTTCCCAGCAGATATGACAAGTTTAACCTTGACAACCTCTAACATATAAGGGAAAATGTTCCCTATTATCTGGGTTTTTTTTAATTTATTTCTAGTCATTCATACCTGGACAAGGCAGGAACAGCTTTACAAAGCAAAAATGCGTGCCATTAAAAGTAGGCTGTTTGTCTGTCTGTCTCCTTTTCCAAATGCTTATTTCCCACATTGATTAATACAGTGTTTCTACCTAGAGCAGCAGGGTAGCTTATGTGATAATGGTGAGGCTTCTCTCAGCTCTAAATCTACTACTCCAGCTCAAATTTGTGAGAACATGCCATGATTTTCTAACTTTAGTTTGAGCACACTTTCATATACCATGCTGTAAGAGCTGCAACAAATTAAATTGCTGTTTTGAATGATTTCTGCATCATATCCACTCCAGAGTTGTGGTTTTCTTGCGGTGTCCCCTCCAATTCCACAGTACTCCTGCAAGCTCCACCACTTCTCCCTGTTCACATAGAGTAGCCTTATACTCTGAATAAGCAGTCATAAATAATGTGCCTTAAAAAAAATCCCCATCACAACCACCCTCCACTCAGAGAAGTAGCTCCTGTTACTCACACAGTGGTCCAACAACACTTCTTCGCTGGCTTAACTAAAGCGGACCCTTCCTGCCCTGCCCTGTATAAATGGTACAAGCCATTGCTGGGATTCCTGGAGTGAGTCCATGGCTCAGGGCCCACCCACTTCCTCCAGACGGGGGCCAGGGCTGCAGCTATGGCTGTCTAAATATGGTGTAGTGGGGAGACTGGTCTTGGAGCTTGAGGAATTACCACCATTTAACGGCCAGTTAATAAAATACCAAGCTGGTACCAGTGTGTATCAGGACTATTTTTTTGTGTCTGTCCCTACAAAGCACTTTATGGTGTTCCAGAGAACAATTAGACCGGGTCTTACACAAGAACTAGGAAAACTGCTGACCTCTTAAACAAAGCCCCATGTTGGCAGTAAAAGTGAGCTTTAAGTAAAACTCCACCCAAGTAAGAACCAAGCAGACCTTGTGCTTTGTTTTTAAAACATTCTTCTTCAACACACAGCTCAACATCTGAACGTCGTGTCTATAACTTACATTAAGAATCTCAAACAGCTTCTTCTTCTTGGAGGGTTCCTCTACCCATAACAGGATCTGCCTCACGTTGCCACAGGGCTGATTCTTCTCTCCAATAGCAATACGGACGGGGTCACGGACCAATCGGGCAGCCAGCTCCTCCGTCCCTGTTGGGATGGTGGCCGACGCCAGCAGAGTCTGGTGTTCTTCGGGGACTTGTTCCAAAACCTCCAGTACCTGTTGCTGGAAGCCCATCTTCAACATAGTGTCGACCTACATGATACACCAGGAATATAAATGGTTCCAGGACTTTCTCCATTTTAAAACTGTATGATTTCTACACACTCAACAGCATTCAACTGAATATTTGCAAAATCACTCTTATTCTATTTGGTAAATTCTCAATTTTACAGCATGTTTTGGGATATGGTATGACTTTAGTCAGAATTAGCAAACACAAAATCCACAGTTTGCTAATCATGATGCAAAATTTGAATAGTAACACAATTTAAAACTGCTGCTGTATCACCACAAATGAAGGGTTTTCTGAAGGATCTTAAGTACTGATCCTTGGATGCTGAAACATAACTATATTTGGTGGATTCATTTTCATTTGATCAAAAGATCAAAGTACCAGTACATATAAAATCCGTTAATTTAACCTGTTAGGTCCTTTTTGTTCTTAAAGTCACAAAATGCAATGTTTTTTTTCCAATGTTAAAGACCTTTTGAGTGCTTAACTTCCAGCCAATCTGAATTGCACTGTTTGTCATACCTCATCAACCACCACGACCTTCACTTTGTCCAGCTGCACTGCCCTCTGCTTCAGGATCTCCAGGAGTCGTCCTGGGGTGGCTATGATAATCTATAGGGGGATTAACAGGGGAACATGATGCTGATGAAAATTGAAGACTTAAAAAAATGTTTAAAACAGGGGAGGAGGAAATACTTAAAACAAAGACTGTACTTTGATGCTGCTTTTGAGGCGGTGGAGTTGTGGGGGAAGTGGCATGCCGCCCACCAGCAGTGCGGTCCTCATGTTAGGGAGGCCCATCACAAGCTCCTTGGCCTGTCTCTCTATCTGAATGGCCAGCTCCCTGGTGGGGGTCAGGATGAGAGCCACAGGGCTGCACACACTGTGTGCTGGCTTCTAAAAAAAATAGAGAACATATAGTATTTCTAACACCTGGTCTTTTTACACAAAGTGGTCCTACTTCTGAAACTGGCTTAAACCAGGACAGAAATGTGCCCTGGAACAAAAAATGTTTTAAGAAATGCTGAGAATTAGCAAACAGACTGTAACTGTATTTGGTTTTTCCAAGTTGTATAAATACTTTAATTCAAACAACCTAATGTTATGTAATGGCCGAGATTTACTGTACCTTATATGTTGTGTCACAAGCCGTAAACAGAGTTAGCAGACATGTAAAGCACAAATCAGGCTGTTAAAAATTTTTAAAATGTGGACTTGTGACATGCAGGTTGCTGGTGTTTAGCAAATGATTTTAAAATAGGTGTCTCTGGGTTTGACTAAGTATCACTGTACCTCCAGTGCCCTTACTACCACTGGCAGCAGGAATGCTACAGTCTTCCCTGAGCCTGTGTCAGCGCTGGCAATCACATCCCTGCCACTGAGACCAACAGGGACCATCTGCATCTGGACTGGCGTGGGTGCCTCATAGCCGGCCTTTTTCAGGTTGCCACTTAGCGTGGCAGGGAAGCCGCAGTGTTCAAACTCAACGATGGGTCTCCTGACGTCTCTCCCCTGGGTTTCAATGCCCAGCTCCTGTTTAATTCGCTGCACCTGCTCATCTGTGAGGCCTGATATGAACCGATCCTCCTTGTAGGAATAGCCGGCCTCACTTTCATTCACTCCACCAGTATCAACTGCCAGCTGTTCAGTCCTTTCGTCTGCATTTGTGTCCTTACGGTTAAACACATCTGCCCCGGTGCCCATCCCCATTTGGGCCAAGTGTTTGGCTTTGCACTCAAGACTGCAAACATCATTGTCTGTGCTGTCACAAATGTACTCCCCATAGCGACCACACATTACACATACAGGCTCTCCTGGCTCGGGCCACCTTTGGCTCTTTTTAAATGATTTGACAGGTTCCTCCTCCTCTTCTTCCTCCTCATTATCTGTGTCACTTGAGGCACTTGACTTATGTCCATCCTCACGCACTGAGCTCTCTGTCAACCCTGCAGAGTCTCCAGCTGCTTGTGTCTCATCCTGTGTGTTGGTGTCTTCACATGCTTCCTCCTTCTGAACAGGTGTCACTGAAGTACCTTCATCTTTCCTCTCCTCCTGATCTACCTTGCTTTTCTTATTCAAAACTTGCCTTGAAGCCTGGGCAGGTCTTTTCACCTTCAGGGCTCTTGGCATAAACATTCTTATGGATAGTTAACCTGTGTACAACAGAAACAGAGATACACATTAATGTCATGGGTTTAAGGGGTCATTGTTTTAATGTAACAGCAGCTTCTCAAAGTGGTGGATGACTGGGCTTATATAGCATGACGTTATTCCACAAAAATAACGTTTTATTTACAACAATGAAAAGGGGTGTTCTTTACTTTGAAATTTGCAGCGTTGAGTCCAGTTCGTTCCGTACAGTAACCAAAGTAAAGTTTCACAAAGACAGATAAGGCTTCCTCCTGGCTTCCACTGCTAACAAGTCAAATTTTTCGTGTTTATTGAGAAAACATTTGTCAAACCAAACTTCGGCCATAACTAACTCATGAATGCCGCGGAGGATCTTTTAAATTAACAGCATTACATACCTGCTTCCAACGCGTTATCTTCCAACGTTTCAAAACAATCACCGACGCAGAATTATGACGTCATGTAACGGTGAACGTTGGGAAATGTGGTTCGGAGAGCAGCGCCTTTTTTGCTCTACCTTTCTGCCGGTCGCAAGGCTCCTGTGTAACAGCTTTTAACTTCTTTTTGTGTTTTTGAAAAATAAAAGTGATTAAAAATAATTAAGTATTTGGGATTTCTAGAGTCTATTCTATTCTTTTGAGTCTTCTATCCGATGTCATGTTTTACACTGTACGGGGTGTGGCTGGAGAATTTAACCCTGCTACTACAAGGTATTTTAACCACTGGCTGGTCGTCAAGCGGTTTAATTACCGATCTGACGTCAAGTCGAGCTGTCAGAATTATCAACATATGGTGATATGTTCTTATAAAGCGTCAGGCTTTTTTGTTTTATTTTGTTTTCTGGCTGATTGTACGCAGACTGTCCCCTTTTCACGCTGCATTCAAATGCTCATCGAACACTCAAGCATTAATCCTAAAATGTGCAGTTTTGTGGAATAAGGACGTGAAATGACAAGGTTTGGATTTGTGTGTTGTCATGGGGTAAACGTATGATGTAGTCCTCAACACCATACAAATTTAAATACATGACACTATAAAACCAATACAAATATAACAATATAACACAGTCCCCAAACAAAAGTGTTAACATTCCCGATATCTGTGAATGTACCCACCGCGCATGCGCATTGCGCAACAAAGGTGCTGGGCTTGGAGAGCCACAGTGCGGCAGGAAAACCGCACCACGGCACCAAAGGACAGAAGAGGGGAGGGAATGCCAAACACATACGTTATCCATACAAGACTACATGGACGTGAAAGGGAGAAGCCGTCTGCTTCCAAAGAATCCAAAGAATGGAAATATGTCTGTTTCCATTCCAGGTGAAGACCAGCTTTTCCTCTGAAATCCAAGGAAACCTTCCCGGCTGGGTCTGACGAAGCCCATTTCAACTGGTAGACGGCAGTATGGATGAAAGACGCCAAGACTAGCGACTCATTGTGTCAACGAGACTGAATAAGACAAAAAAAACCGCAGTCTGTCTTGTGTTTTATGACTGAAAGGACCCGTGAACAGTCTGCGGAGAGACACCGCATCTCACCGTTTTACACCCGTTTATTGTTTTCCACGAAATTCCAGTAGTGGGATGCGTTCGCGTTGTGTTGCTTCATAGGGTTCAAGAATTCAAATTCAGGGAGAAATATGGGTGAAGTTCAGGATATCAGGGATGTTAAGAAGACCTTCGTTGCCCCAGCAATAAAGTCTTTTGAGCACTATGACCTCTCCCGAGCCAAAATCTGTTGCAGCCTCACATGGCTGGTGGCCAAAGCGTACGGGACAGGTAGGTGCATCATTGTACCTCAGTGTAGTCTGCTGCACGCTGCATGGATGGTTTTGATTTTCAAATGCATGCTTGCCAGCATTTTAATGACTTACTACAGGAGCTGATGCAATACGTGTTAAATATGCCCTTAGTTTGAAAAGGCTCTGACATGAAAACAAACACAAAATGGTTTACACTGAAGAGACATCATAGATATCCAGTATGGACCCATCATTGAGTACCCATGCCAGCATTTTGCACTTGTATCCCCTGTAGAAATATAACAGTGATTTTCCATCAGAGTAAAACCAAACACCTTTGTGTTATGTTGCCCATTGCGGATCATCTTAAATAAATTGCCCTTTGGAAAGCCAATAAAAATCATCCCTAGAGGACAGATAAAACCAGCTCCCTGTGCTGGATCCTAGTGATCAATAAATATGTTGTCCAACATAATGGAAAGGGAGCATTCAGTCAGTGCAGAAACATGCAGATAAGGTGTCCTAAATGATGTCACCTTCAGGAAACAGCAATCCAAATTTAGGAAGAGATGCATCACATGGGAGATTTTTTATACATTGTCAGCAGGGTTTTTATAGCACACAAATGCTCTGCTTGTTTACGGTTATGCGGGGTAAATGAAAAGGCTTGTGGCTGTAGTCAGCAACCCTCACAGAAAGAAATCAATAGTACTTTAAGAAATACTGATAAATGCTTTTCCTTATGGACTCTCATAACTTGCCTCAGTTGAAATCACTCTTGATTCATATATATGACAGTATGGATTTAACTCAGAATATGAATATGAGGGTAAAATTTGTTTTAAAATTAAAAAGTTGTCAGAGGTTTCTTTTGTTATAGTAGTATTAAAAATTGACAGACATGGGGTTTTTAAATTTGATTGAGACCAACTCTTATCTTGGAGAGAGATGTGATGTTAACGTAGGGAATGTATGCATATAACCTGGTTCTACACCTCTGGATGGCCACCCACATTCACACACATTTCGGTCTGATTATCTGGCTAGTGTGGGCAATACACATAGAAAAGAGGAAGGTTGTAACACAGTGGTCCAGAGTCTCACCTCTACATCATCACCCTAGGGTTCAAAATTGATTCAAAACAGCCAATGTGGTGCTGTGTTGTTTGTTTTTACCTTAAATGGAACATCTTTTTCTTGTATCTAGTTGTTTGTGTTAGACTATACTGCTGCTGAGAAACTTGCTGCAAAATTTGTTCCACTCTAAATGATTAAAGTCAATGCTTCTGTAAAGTTTTACTGTGTCATTTAATGGGGCATTGAAGTGGACTGTGCATTCACAGGCAGCTCTTTTTGTATTGAACATATAAAATGTATTTGATTGTACAACCACAGTATTGCATCAGTTTGACTTCAGATGGATGGATGTTCTCTGTCACACAAACTACCAAAGGTGACACATAACTTCGATCACCCTCTGTTGCCCAACAGTAGAAATTACAACAACATGGATTGACAGTATCTCTTTTCTTCAACATTTCTGTCACAACCCCCCTTATACTGTTGTGACTCACATTTTCACAGTGTGAGCAGCAGGTATTTATTAGAAATGTGTAGTGAAGAGATAATGCATCAACATCTTTCATTCTCAAGAGTGGAAATGTGCTAAATTGTGATGTCCGTCACATGGTTTCAGCATCTCTTTCCACCCTTAAGCAGCTCAAAATGCAATGAGCGAGGACTGCTTGCATTCTTTTAGTCTCTTAAAATTCTAGTCAAGTGCACCACTGCACATGTTGGCATTCATGCTATGTTAGGTGACAGAGCCAGGGCTGATAAGGTGGCATCAGTGAACAAAGATGCATAACAAGATCACTTTTCTTCTGAGCCATTAATGTGGAAAAACTGGTATGATTGGCATTGTGCTTTTACAACGCTTAGCCCTAGAGCTACAATTAAAGTTGTAATGCGCAGCCTCTGGCCAAATGAAGGAAATAAATGCTCCCAACACTCCTGGCAAGTGATTGAAAAAAATCAAGTCACTGCTTTCACTGCTTCTTTTATAACTTCTTATTAATTGACCTTCTATATGTATTCCATTAGGAGGGTATGTGAAAGATGCTACAAAACCACATTTCAGATTAAGAACAATGAAATGTAGAATTCTTAAAATTGCACATTTGCTCTTATCGCAGCTGAAGTAACTCTAACAGAGAGTGTCGCACTGAGGATACGGTCAAAATGCACGTTCTCTGGTTGTGTTCTGTCCTAATTTTGCTTTTATTTCCCATGTGACACAAATCACATGTGTGACCCACACACTAATATATATGAACTTATTCCAGCATTCCCATTACAGTACCTAAATGTGGGTCATTTACCTGAATCAGAGCTGTAATTTGGACTTGATAGCCAACTTTATTGATGTTCAGAGAGATGCATCAAATCATTCGAAACACATATAACAGAAGCAAAATATGCTCCTCTAAAAAATGAAAATGAGCAACAGTTTGTGCTTAAATGCCGTGCTCCATTCACTGACACTGAAGTGGAAATGATTTTTGTCTAAAGCTGAGTCCTCAGGAAGATCTCTTTGTTAAAGGCCTTGGAAATACAGTAGTGTGCGGTTGACTAAGTTACGGCTCTGCACAATTGAAAGTGGGAGCTTTTGAGAGTTTTTATTTCCTCTGTCTAGCAGAATCACGTCTTTAAAAAACATGTTTCTTCATACAGGTTTAGAATCTGTTTAAAATGCTTAGCCCCTGTGTCGAACAGCTCCGACATCTCTCATTTAGAGTTGGGTGGGGAAACAGAATTAGCTGACTGTGTGAGTGTTTCAATCAACGGTTTATGATCGCAGTCTTTATGACTAAAAGTATGAAATATAAAAGATAATACAAAACTACAACACAAAAACATCTATGTAGGCGGCCCCCCGAAATAACTTAACAGACTCAACAGCACTTAGTAACAGAGAGAATCTGTCTTCATAAATGCAAGGTGCAAGACAGTCTGTCTGTTAATCTTTTGTATTCTGTTCTTTCCCATTCACTCTATTATTCATTTTGATCCCCATAACTGAAGTTATTAAAATACAATTAAAATAACCAACCCAGCTCCATCTGTATTCAGTGTGGACAGAATGATGTTCCTCTGCTTTAGCCACCGAGCACATTATTCCTTGTGCTGTGTTGTAATAGCCCAGTGAACATGAGATTCCTTGCATATCCTCTGTGTATTTTCAATCAGGACTGAATGAAATGGGCTGATTCCAAAAATACAGCTCTCCAGAGAGAGAGAGTTAGAGAGAGGGAGGGAGCGAGAGTACAAGAAAGAAGGAGAAAGAGAGGGAGAGGGAGAGCAGGCTCGTCTCCAGATCTCTGCCTACGCTGCTCTGAATACTTCACATGCATCTGCCTCATTACACCAATGCAGGAGTGCATCAAGAATATGCAGTCCAGTAGATGCAAGATGTAGACTGTGCAGCGGATCATGTGCTGTTAGAAAAACAGCACAAATGGAAACCACTGTTTAATGTCCGATATAACTCGGGTACACAAGCAGAGCTAAGAGGAGATTCACTGTGACCAGAAGCTGTCCTGTTTGAATCCTGGGTAAAATATTGGGGTGAAAGTTTGTGCAATTCTTGCCCTTCATCAATGCATTTAACTCTAAACAGCAGCTGGAATATTGTTGTAAAGCAAGGTTTCTTGGACTTCCATGCATAAATAAAACCTTAAATACCACAAATGTAATGACATATCAATCAAAGATGAATCACTGTAGTAAATTTTATGTGCAATCTTCGATCAAATATGACTGATGAAATGATGCACGTTAAGTTTTCTGTCTGCAGTGAACACCATGGATCAATGTGAACACTGCTCTTGTCGTTATAGTAATGTGATATTTAAGCTCAGCTAACTGAGCCACAAAAGACAAACACTGCTGACTTTGTAGTCTTCTTTAATAAGCAGGTACATTACAGTGACAACAAGGTCAGCAAATACTGGAAGACACAATCAGGGCTCAGGAAAAATAACATGAAATGAAAATGTGATTTGTAAGTTACCTGAGCAATATGTGAACACGCTGCCAGCTCTAGGCGTGTTGCTCTGCAACTCAACATGACCTCTGACCCATCTATGGAGGGTGAAGGGGGAGGACTGGAGAAAACATAAATTTCTTTGTTTGGATCAATAACATGAATATAGTACTTACAGGAAAAGGATATAACCTAGATAGTCCATCTGTAGATGACCTTGTTGATAGTGGTCAGTCCAAGCAGGTGATTCATTGACTGTTTTGTGCGCGTGCATGTGTGTTGGAGGATGGGCAGCAGTGTCGGAGTGTAAAGATGTCAACACGTGGCACATTTCTCTCCGCACACATCCAGGCAGTGATTGAAATTTACATCTATTCTTCTGCTGCTGACACAGCGATGAGCTCTGCATCTGGATCTGGAGTGTGTGCAGATGTATTTTATTGTTTTCACACAACAGCAGCAGCAGCATCCTATTTGGAACTAGGCAATCTTTTTCGTGGAAAAAGAGGGATATGCATTGGGTTGGCTCTCACAGATATTTTCTGTACAATGCTTTTCAAGCATTGGATTATAAAGAAAGGTTCCCAGCTCAGCAAACACTGGCAAGACAGGTACTAGGCACAGGCAATAAAAAACCCCAATGTTTTTGAATTATTTGTGGACTGTCCCCTTGCAGTGGGCTTGCTTGAGGTGATACACGATACACGCACACACACACACACACACACACATGCAGGCAGGCTCCCTCTTTGATGAGGCAGGCAGTGAGAGGGGTGTTCCCAGGGAGCTGGAAGCTGCAGAGATACAGACTAGATGAATCGATCGGGTTCCACTCCTCCTGCAGTTGCTATAGCAACGCTAAGGTCTATCCACACATATCTACGTCAAGATATTGTCAAAGCATGGCAATGAAAAATGAAGTGGGCCTGCCAAAGATGGCAGGGAGCACTGTGCGCTGAGAGGAAAAATCTTCCCAAAAAAAAACAAACTCTGTCGCAGGTTGTCAGCTCTGTATTTTCACTTTTTGTTTCCACAGTTTGCAACAGAATTTAAATCATTGCTTGTGAAAAATGGGTGAAAGGCAGTGTTTTTTTCTGCTTTTGTCTTGAACTTGCATCTGAACTTTTCTTTGGTGTTACTTACTTACCGTATTTTTTATCACACACTTCTCTGTGAGCCTGCCGAGCTGTATATTTCGTTGATGGTGGTGATTTTTATGATGTTGTAAATTAGAAATATGCTACTGTGGTGGTCTTGGTTGCCATCATGTTAATGTCTAAAGTGCAAATTGTTCATATGCCTCAAGTGAAATACGTTAGGGCCATGTTCTTTTTATTGAGCCTCCCAGGAGATCAGAAGACTCTCTAAATCTCATTGTCTGCCCTCCCTCATACAGACAGCATCCCAGCAGACCTAAAGGACCCTTTCTACACAGACCAGTATGAGCAGGAGCACCTGAAGCCTCCCGTGGCCAGCCTCCTGCTGTCTGCGGACCTCTACTGCAGGGCCGGCAGCCTCATCCTGAAGAGCGACGCTCCCAAGCCACTGCTGGGCCACGATGCCGTCATTCAGGCACTGGCTCAGCGCGGACTCTACGTCACTGACCAGGAGAGGCTGGTCACTGAGAGGGACCTTCGAAAGAGGCCTCTTCAAATGGTGAGAGAGCTTTTTAAATCCATATTTGAGTTTCAGGGGTACTGGTGAGATTGAAATGGGGATATACAGTCAATTTTGTAACTTCCTGCTTTGCATATTATCTCATAGTGGTCTTCATATCTAGGAAATCCTCCAACTTTCTATTTTGAGTATTCCCAGCAATAGAAGTCGACACCAGCTCTGTACTGTACAGTGATAGCGACTTTTCTTTTTCTCAATCCCTGAGGCATATTTTGCACATCTTTCCTCATTCCTTCATTCCATCCAGCTTGCCTTTCAAACTCTAGTTAACCAGGAAAGAGAACATTCTGAAGAAGCAAGGTACAAGAACAGGAAGCTGTGCCCGCATTCACATATTTGTGCTCGCATGCACTCGTGCACAAGTTGGTTGATCCTGCTGCGTCGCAACAGAGTGGTATGCTTCAAATGTTATATTTTGCTCTTGTTGCTGCCTTTAGTCAAGGTATTTTATTTTTAAGAGTTAGCACAGGTGTGTAGAAAGAGCTGAATAAATCAAAATAGAGATTAAATTCAATTAACCTTAATAAATGGACCTTTAAGCTTACCGCTGATGATCAGTGCAGCTGTTCTGCTGGCATGATTTGTAAAGTGCTTACTTTGTGGTCATTCAGTTATAAGTGGCCAACCACTGTGACTTCGGAAATGAGGTTCCCATCCATTTTGCGTTGTGCTCTTTGAAAGAAATCACTTCAGTGTAGTGGAAAGCACATTTTTTTCTCAATGGCCAATAACTTCGTATAATAGCAACAATTTGTACAACACATTTGATTTCAAATATAATCCAAAACCACCACAGCCTGGTAAACAAGTGCAGTAAACCAACACAGCAACAATGAATAACCAGTATAAAAGTTACAAGACAGAAGGGGTGTAATGTATTCAGTATTCCAGGTACAGATTTTTCAAGCCTGTCTGTACTGGAACAGCACAAGCTGACTTAGACCCGAAGGCATCTACTGCCCTGTGTGTATGTGTCATCTCTCACCATCTTTATAGCTCAACTGTTCTGTGCTGGAGCTCACTTCAGAGATAACTTTGCAGGCATCCAATTGATTGAGAACGAGGGATCCTCATTATTTGGGGGCAAAGTCTCAATAGGAAGCTTTACTGCTTCAGTGAGTTGCAATTGAGACACGATTAGCACACAGTTTGCCTGCAGTCTGTTTGTAGAGTCTTGCTGGTTTTAATTTCCCTTGTATGCTAATTCAGAAGTTATTTAAGTTTTGTTGGGGTTTAGATTCCAGGCACTTTGTTTAGTGAAGACAACAAGTATTTTTAGTGTGAGCTTATCTCACATGTTGTGTATGTGCATGTGTGTGAGTACGTTTTCTTCACAGTTTATTTTCTGGTCCAGAGCTGAATAGGGTTTTACATTTGATTTTAAGCCGGCACAGTTCATGACTGAGTGGTTTGCCAGAAAGCAGCGGGGTGTGTGTGTGTGTGTGTGTGTGACTAAGCAGGTTGTTATGAATGTGAAAATGAGCTGCTAGAAGATTGTGAACCTACCTTCTGCCATTTCATTTATTTATGTTCAATTGTTCCATCTTCCAGCCTTAAATTCTGCATTCCTCCTTTTACTCCTCCCCCTTTGCCACCGCCCTAACAACACTCTCTTTTTGTCTCCACTTTTGCTTGTCTCCCTTTCCGCCATCTTGCCCCTCAATCCATAAAATTTCCCAAACCCCTTCCCTCTTCCATCCCTGGGGCTTCTTTATCCACATTTCTTACTTTATTCTTGCATCTTACCTCCATCTTTATTCCTTCCTCCTCTTCCAGTGTTCCTCTAGTCCTTTTTACTTCTATTACTAATCACTCCCATCTATCACCTAGATTCAGATCTAGATCTACAGAATCATGGCCTGATAAATGCTAAAGGTTAAAAGGCCCAGACACACCCAATCGATCTAGAACTAGTGGCGACAAAGGCAGACTGTTGCGTCGCCTCACATCACCTGTGTCTCAGCAGAAAGTTGCACTTGAACACATCGCAAACACTACAGCCAATGGCCAACTTACACTTACGTTCTGCACCTGCATGAGAAGAAATACGTCTACAAACCAGCAGGCAGCAGTAGTCTGTCTTCTTAATTCGGAAAGGGAAGCCGGAAGACTGACAAGACGGATTCAAGATGCTAAGTAGCCAGCTAGCATATGAATGACACAACAGGATATTGAAAGAATAAATTATATTTACCGTGCGCTAGTGAACAATAACACAAAGAATTACAAACATTTTCTGCCTAAGAGCTCAAGGGCTAAAAATGATAATCTTACCTAATTTAGTCATTTGTTTACTTTCCTCATTTCTGTCTCCCTTAAGTTCTTGCACTTGAATGCATCGCAAACATTACAGCCAACAGCCAACTTGCACATACATTCTGCACCTGAATGAGAAGAAATGAGTCTACAAATCAGCAGGCAGCAGTAGCCTGTCTTCTTTATTCATAAAGAGAAGCCAGAAGACTGACATGACGGATTCAAGATGCTATGTAGCCAGCTAGCATATGAATGACACAACTGTATTTTGAAAGAATAAATTTTATTTATTGTGCTCTAGTGAACAATAACACAAAGAATTACAAACATTTTCTGCCTAAGAGCTCAAGGGCTAAAAATGATAATCTTACCTAATTTAGTCATTTGTTTACTTTCCTCATTTCTGTCTCCCTTAAGTTCTTGCACTTGAATGCATCGCAAACATTACAGCCAACAGCCAACTTGCACATACATTCTGCACCTGAATGAGAAGAAATGAGTCTACAAATCAGCAGGCAGCAGTAGCCTGTCTTCTTTATTCAAAAAGAGAAGCCAGAAGACTGACAGGACGGATTCAAGATGCTAGGTAGCCAGCTAGCATATGAACGACACAACCGCATGTTGAAAGAATAAATGTTATTTATTGTGCTCTAGTGAACAATAACACAAAGAATTACAAACATTTTCTGCCTAAGAGCTCAGGGGCCAAAAAGATCATCTTACCTATTTTAGTTTTTTGTTTACTTTCCTCATTCCATTTCCCCTATCATGCACTGAGCTGATCAGCCAATCAGCTGGATTTTTACTCACCAAAGGGCTCTTCTGGCTCAGAGGCGGATTCAACATGTTGAATCAGCCGAAAAAAGCTGAAAAGGGCGAACTGTGCTGGTCACATCACAAAAACTAGGGCGACAGATGCTCACCGACGGCCTGACATTGACAAACCTCTGACTGCCGGCTTGGTGTGTCAGGGCCCATATTGTTGTAGCCCAGCTGATGTTAGACAGATTTGTTAGCCTTATTTATTATTATTTTCAGTGTTTTTAATCAATTTCAATGAGATGAGAGACAAAAAATTATGCAAAAGTGTTATATATTGCTTACTATCAGGACATCACACACTTGAGACAGTTCATGTGGATTTTCTGCTGCACATCGGAATGACAGCTCAGGAGGGGGCTCATCTATTATTCAGAAACTGCTTCAACATCTAACTAAAGGTTGACAAGGTGACCAGCAGCTGTCCAGGCTCAGTGCTGCGGGGGTGTGCAGAGACTTCAAGGAGAGTTGGAGGAAAACATTTCTTCTCTGAGAGATAGAGAGGGCACTTTAATGGTTTGATAGGCTCACCTCAAAGAAAAACACAACTGGTTTTAGTCCTAGAGCAGACTGTGAAAGATCAAGAGACTGAGCACCTTCCTGCAGTTCTAACTGTAATCTGCTCGGAATAAGAGCGCCAGTAATGTCATTAAATGTTGCTTCGTTGCATTTTAAGCTAAGCGTTTTTTGTAACTCAGCAGTTTGCATAAGGTGGAAGAATTTTAAGAATAAGCAACTTCCGGGGATGTGCGAGGGAGCTTTAGTAGGTCAGTCAGCAGCAGAGTCAGATGCTGCTGATGTCTTGTCTGACACATGTCATAACTGAGAACATTCGCTGACATTTTCACGAGGTTGCCAAACTGACTTTGCATTTTAATCGTATTTTTTCTGTCCCCGCTCCTTCTCTCTGTCACTGCTCTGCCCACTCATCCTTCTGCCTTTGGCCATGTGACGGATTCCCACATGTGAAGATGATCGCAGTAACCGCCCACTTGGTCGCCTACACACATTCTGTATCGCTGACGCTCTCCTCCACCTGTAGTGCCCGCAGAGAATGAGGGGAGAGATGTGGAGGTGGGCTGAGGATCTGAAAATATTATTCTAGCATTACACATTACAGCCCACATGAAGCACCGCTGTGCAGGTATTATAGTAGCCAAAATTCATTATCAAAAGGCTGTAATTGCTCAGTTTGATAATACTAGTTCTTGGCTGTGTTCTTTTCAAAGTGGCGGTGCTGTGTGATCAGCTTTGTTCGTAGTGGTTGAGTGGAAACTCTGGGACAATGGAGAATTCATCTCCAGCACACACATACAACAATCATACAAACGTGTACAGGGAAATTATCTGCATGTCACTTTCTCTCAGATTGTTTCTTTGCAGCTGCGGTCAGTTAGAAAACGTAACATGAAAGCTGGTAACCATTATCGTCTGACAAACATTTCTGAATTAAAGACCAGTATCTTGACTTGATGAATCGACATGCTAATCCATCCCCGTTGCTACGGAGACATTAGATTGAGTGGGATGAGAATGACGTCAAGATCCAGAAAAGCCAAGGAATCAACAGCAGATGATGAATGAAAATGAAGTCTGTTTGCTCCTGCACATACGCATGTGTGTAACTGTGTTGTTAAGTACATCCGAGTGTATTATCTATGAAGCTAATTGCACAGTGTAGAGTGGCACAGAAGTGCTCCTTGTGCCCTGCAGCAAGGCAGAGAGGGTGATTATTGTATAGAAACAGTGGCTGGCATATTCAAATTTAATTCTATTTACTCTGGGTTCTTTCACTCAACATGAACACTCTTGCAACAGCACTCTGTTCCACATTTGTACAATCTGCTGGATTCTGAGCAGCCCCACTGGAGCACTGATGGTTAATTGCTTTGCTCAAGGGCACC